AACAAAGGGGAGAAAGTTTCTGGTTTGAGGAACTGGCGAGATAAAATCGGTTTCTCGTCTGGGGGAATTATCGTTTTATTGCCGCGACTCTTGAAAAGTTGGATTTCCTGGAACGAGACGGATCTTTGGATCAAGAGCTAGGACCTTGTAATGCTCAATGCTTAAATATATTTTGTGACCGGCGCGTTTAAGTAATGTGTAATTAAATATATGGAATCGTATTTTTAATCTCTAACTCTCTTCATCGTTTTTTGCTTTCTTTATTCTTGCTTTTATTGCAAGAAGGTTTAATTTATGGATAAGATATCTGTAATTTGTAGTTATTCGAGATTAAAATAGGATTAGAATTTCTTTTTGAAATAAGAAATTATGTTAGGAAATAAGAAAACCCATTCTCTTGGTGAGAAAAATATATTATTGGTTAATCAACAAAATATCTTTTCAATCGAGAAAAGAGTCAATAATTGAGTATTATTCGATTGGAACGATAATAAGGAATGAGAAATTGCATAATATGAATTGTAAATGTGCATCCGATAGTACGTGTCATTGCATATCACCTTCAACGTGATAACGTATCACTCTCTATTATTCCATATCTTTTTAATACCGATGTAGAAAGTAGAAAATAAAAGAAAAAAATTCAAAAAGTATCGTATCCAAATTTTATAGATTTAAAAATACTTAAGCAAGGATCAAATGTTTGCATTCTTATTTTTACAACTTTTAATCGAGACTGTTGGATTTAATTATATCGCTATATGAAACGTCGGTGAAATTTCTTTTAAAGAATTTAGATTTCAAATCGCGATAGCCTTTGATTCGATCGACTTATAATGAGTATACTTTAATGAGTATACTTAACGCAAAATGCAAATAAATTTGCGGGAGTTAATACGGTTTTTAATTATTCGCGTAGAATCTCGCTCGCGCAAAAAGATTTATAATTTCATATGCAGATAGTTACATTGTTTGAACTAGATTGCTAAACTCATTATTCGAAAATCATGAACGTATGACGATGAAACCGTGTCCTGGTGAAAAACAAGCAAATTAAATATAATTCATGGACGCACGTGCTTAGAGTGAAATAAAATATTTTTTTGATCGACTATTAAAAATCTAAATTTTTCATTAATTACATTTATTCATACAAAATAAAATGTTTCCTACTAGAAACATGTAGAGCACAATAATTTTCAATAAAAGAAATGTAGAAATATCCTCTTTTGTATTATACTCATTTTAAAATAGCTAATAAATTTAAATTACATAAAACTTGTAACTAAAAGACATTATTATTAATTAATAGTGTAGTCTCATGTTTAAATTCAAAATTTGATTTTGCATAAGAATCGACAGTCTATTAATAAACATAAGAATGAAAGAAATTCAAAAAAATAAAACACCAGAAGAATAAACTTAATGAAAGCTTAATTAAAAATTCACTTATTAACCAGAGACTAATCATTAATTTAAAATTATATAACATAAATTGCAAATTTTTTTTTCATTATTGAAAAATTAATTATCTCGTTGCATCATAATAACAACATCTTCTTCTATACCTGTATAATACATATATATATATCTTTCTCCAAGATCATATCTCGCTCTCTTAAATTACTCGTCCAAGTTCTCGATTGAAAACTTTTGAAATCGAGTAGGCCATTGACTCGCCAAGCTTATTTTCAAGACACCCATCCGGTCTCCATCTCTCTTTTGACTCCTCCTGATGAGCGATATGAGCGACAAAGGGGCTAACTTATGCGGGCTAACTTACACCTCCATGAGCGCAGGTGCATTCGTTGGGACAGTGTCGTGGACTCTTCGAGGGTTCAAGGTCTGCGAGTGATACCCTTGGAATAATGGAAAGAAACGTCCTGGGAATTTCTCATGAAGTCAGGGACCCCCGTCTTTAGATTCATTGCCGCTCCTTCCTTCCTCTACCTTTGCTTCATTTATGCTTTTCCCTCGATTCTGAGGAGGATATGTGAAAAAAAGTAATCCAGTAGTAGTGGTTCCAAATTTATTCAACTTTATTTAATTGATTTTATCGCCGATTTTTTAAATTCAATTATTGAAAGATTATTCTATTCGAAACGTTCTATCGGTGTATCCAGAGTTATTTAATTTATCATCGATTGGATCAGATCGAAAACTGGTCCAGTTCAGAGACGAATCTTATTCAAAGTTATTTAATTTTCATTATTCGAATTAGGTTCATCGTTTAGATTAGATTCAAAGAATATCCAAATTTATCTAGTTCTTATTGTTTAGCTTTGTCATCGATAATTGTATCAATAGCATGACTCAAGCGTTTTTCCTTTTACTTTTCAAAATTATTCGAACTATAATTAGTTCCATTTCCGAAGCGAATAGTTTTAATTAACGAATTATAAATCATCCTGTTCAATTAATTAATCTCGTAAATTCGAAACTCGCGGGTTGCTGCCAAAGTTAACTAACTAAAAAAATCGGTGTAATCGTTAACAGTTTATATTCACTCGGGATGGATGCATTAACGTTAATTCGAAGGTGTCGGAGTTAATCCGCCCGTTTCAGTGAGCGAGATTACGCTGCGTAAACGAACGATTTTTCTCACGATCCCTTATCGCGTGGAATCGCTTGCGTAATGCACAATAGAGATATGTAACCGCTCCATGGAAAGAAAACGGAAATATTGAGTTACTTTCTTCTCACGGGCGCATCAGCGAACGTTCATTAACATTTGTTTACGATAACAAGTACGATCGGATTAATTTCGCTCCCTCTTTAATTGTCGAGCACTTGTTGAAAGGCAATAAAAGAAATTCATTCTGTTGCTGATTTTATCGGTTCATTGATAACAATTTCATTTTACCTTTGATTGAGCTCTTGAATTCTTGAAACACATCTTGGTGATTCTAAACCAGTATATATAAATACAACGTATTGATATTAAAAAAAAGATATCTACGCGCTGCAATTGATCCAAAATTTGAAGTAATTTTTCAAATTTGTATTAAATTAAGTATCTACTCTTAAATGATAATCCTCGAAGAAATGATACAATATAGATAGATAAAAATGTTTTATTGCGATACAAACGCAAATCGAGGAGATTCGTCGCTGTTCCTCATCGCGATTCGTGATCGATATCTTCTCATTCCAGTGAATCCGTGGCACGTTTTATATTCAAATCCAGATATTGCGTTATGCGGCCCCGATCTCTGCTCGTCCGTAATGTGGCTTCGCGTTATGATCCGTGACCGCATTTTTTTCTTCCTTAGATCGCCCCGAATTCCTTCTGCGTTGGAAAAAGAGGGGGAAGAGGAGGGAATTGTCGCGCGGAAGGATCGCTTTCGAAACGTCTCAGGGTGGGCGATGACGAGGAACTGGACCGGAAATCGTTCCGTTTCACGCGCGATTATTCCTCGAACGAGCGGCGGATTTGCAGGAGAAATTTTCCATCGAAACGTTTGTACGAGAGGGAAAAATTCGAAGAATTGATCGAAATTTAGGTTACAAAGTTTGGTTATATGTAAGTTTGTATATAAAGTGGTTTGCAAATTATTTGAAGACGTTAAATCGAGGATCGTATGCAGGATTTCTGGAGACAGAGTTATTATTATAAAAGAGTATTATAAAAGTTGATGCTTATTTATTAAATTATATGTAATTTCTAAAATTTTCTATTGGATGAAACGAATATGTATATAGGATAATGGAGATAGAGGTGTCTCGTTTTATCTGTCATAAATTTAAATTGCTTGTAATTAGATTGCAAATATTTATGCATTTATGCACAATATACGGAAATTTTATTACTCTCTATCTTATTTTACTCTCTAAGACAGAGACACCGAAGGATGTTATATTCAAGGAATATACAATAAATTTCTATTTATTTATTTTTTTCTTTAAATTTACATAAAAACTCGATCAATGTGATCAATAATAATATCGATAATAATAAATTATGCAAAATTATTATCGATAGATAAACGATAATTGGAGATCGATTAATTAAGTGAATAATTAACCGACAATTAACCTTAAATATGTTAAAAATCACTTATATCTTTTTCGCATTAATCATTCGATAGATAGAAGAAATAAACACGAGAATAATATCTCGACGTATGATACAGAAAGATAATCGAACGCGAAGGACGGTGCGTGTCAAAGACGAGTCCGTGTCGCTTTTAGTCGAAAGCGGTTTCCAAGTCGACAGGATGTTTATTCACGAAATAAATTGAAAAGCGGCGGAAGTCGATGAATAACGCGCGTGTCATCCAATGCGAATCATTCGACATTGAGCGTTCGAAGGAAACGGACGCGTTGCGGAGCGCTTGAGACGGTTTGGTTACTTGAATTCTAAATTTTTAGAAATTTATGAAAAATGTACATGTTATTTATGTCGCATAAATAACATGTCCTTTAGAAAAAGACTTCTTGCAAAATAATTTATACCGCAATAATTAATATTAGTATAATCACGCGAGATTTATAACTACAACAAAACTGTATACATACACTCAAAATTAAATACAATACACGAGTAATTCTTAAAATTTCAATCTACAGAGGACACGTTTAAAAGACTTTTATAACAATTCTAAATTCTCAACCGGTCTTCAAATACACGTTCCGTGCACGGATATTCCCAAAGGCAGTCCTTTATTTCGGGAAAACACCTGGGGTAGGTCTTTGGAACACGTCTGGTTCGCGTGCAAATTGCAACGGAGGCGGAGGCCACGTGGGCGCGATTCACGCGCGAATGCACGAGCAGAAATCCACTTTGGCCTTTTCCGGCCAGCCCGGGTTTCAAACAATTTTTTTCATCCAATTTCCAAGGGAAAATGGATGTTTCGTCGCGGAGGAGAAAATATTTCGTGAAACAAGAATCGTGACGAGAAGATTCGTTGAAAACTCGGTCGACGAAAGTCACCTCGCAACGTTCCATAAATTTTGAGAGTTGGTTCTCTTTTTTCTTTCTTTCTTTCGTTTGATTGCAGGTCGGCGACGGTGGTATCATAGTGTTGGATGCCACGTTGGACGCGTCGACGACCGACGATGCTGAATGGGAGCTGAGCGGTGGTCCACCGTCCCCTTGCGACGTGTCGTTCTGCAACGACAATGTCCTCATCAATGGGCGCAGCAATCTCTCGAGGACACCGAGAAATCACAAGGTAAACGATAGATTTATTTCTTCTTATTATTATTGCACGTTTTGTTATTTATTTTTAACGTGATTCGATTATTTATAGCGTTGTAGCCGTTAATAATCGGTCAATGTTCATTTTCAATTTAGATAAAGAACGTTGTTGGAGAATGCAAAAAAGTTTTCCTTTTTTATACTCAACATTTTTATTACGTAATTTGTAATAATAAGTCTAACTCGTCTTGCAACGCATGTATATTGATCTTAATCTTAATCTTGTTAATTGATTCTTACAATATCAATGATTCGCTTATTATGTCGAGAATTAATAAAATGAATCATATCTTTGATTATTTATCAATGATCAATAGGATGTTTTATGATTATCTTATTATTTTTGTTAAAATGATTATAAAAATTTCTGGGAAAGATTTTATACGAGATTTTATATACGAAAAGATCGTTTCCTAGAAATTTCAGATGAGATAAAAAAAAAAATTAAAATTCAAAAATGGGCATAAATTCTAAAATATCAAGTTTCTACAAATTATTATATATTTTTACTCGGAAGATAAAAATCTCTCTCTCTCTCTCTCTCACGTGTTTATTCACTCTTTCTCTTCCATAGTCCGCATAAAAGAAAATTTTGCTGTTAAATATAAAAAAAAAAAAGAAAAATGACAAAAGCTTTATAGGATAAACCTCTTCGATCGAAAGCTTTTTGAAACGTCGTTAACAAAAAAAAAAAAAGAAAAAATCGTAAAAATCGTTATCTACATAAATTAAACGAAGTTCCAAAGATTTCGCTTTTTAAAACATCTGGCAAACATGACGTTAATAGATGTCACTCTTATCGCCACGTCCATTACTTTCTTCCTTCTCTCGCTTTTTTTTTCTTTTTTTTTTTTTTTTTCCCCTTTCACGATCGATCCATAGCCGTTATCTAATCTAATCAGGTGCAGCTTCACGTGTGCAGGATTTACTCGAAGAACGAAGCGAGCGACCATAATGCCGTAACCACAAGGCCTTTGCTTCACATGGGAATGCGCTTTCCCCTCTTGAAAGAGATGTGAAATATTCAAGGGCGACCGAGCATTTCAAACTCTCCCCTCGTACGGCTCCTTTATTCACATCCCTTTTGCTGCATTTTTTGTATCCCCTTCTTAGAAAAAAATACCTCGCCTCGAAATTAAGTTAGGTTAGGTTAGGTTAGATGCTTTCGATTTAAAGCAAGGCGACCATCCATGTTGAATTTTGCAGTATCGTACGTGATGGTCGAATATATACTAAATTTTTTGTGAATAGAATATGAGTGGATGGAACGAAAGATGTAGATTTTTTTGCGCAATTTTAGTAATATTTTTATTAATAACATATTTTTCTATATTATACAGTGAACAAAAATTCATAATTTTACTTAATAATGGTATTAAAGTTCTATTAAAATTAGAATTTCGCGAACAAGTCTTTTCAAAGACTTTATTTTTTTTTTTTTTTTTAATGATTTACAATGAATTATCTTTTGTTATTAACAGATAACGTTTCTTATTAAATATAATTTTGAATGGAAAAAATTTGGAAGGAGGTTGAAAGATTATAAATGATAAATAATCATACATGTAAAAATTACATTATCTAACTATTTGTTTCTTAACAGAATAAACACTGGCGATTCATTATCATAAGAGGCGCAAAAAGTCGCATGCTATTATTTGTATTGTATAATTGACAAGCTTATTGCAATTTGCATGCTTATTACTTGTTTAGCAATTATTAATGACTGAGATAGCTTATCAGTGTATACGCTGATTCGCGAAGTAGTTGTGCAGAGTCATGTTTGACTCTGTGCAATTTAGGATTTACCTTTTATCGCAGCGATTTTCTTCAATCTTTTTTTCAATCTTCTCTCGCAAAATAATCATTAATATTACTTTTTTAAATACTTTCTTACCGATTTATAATCAAGGAGAGACTTCTTTTCCATTTTTATTCAATGATATACAAAAAAAAAAAAAATATGATAATACAATCTTCTTTTTTTAAAATTCATTTAAATATGAAATAGATTTTAAAATTATAAATATATGATTTGATAAATAATAAGCAAATTTATATTTGCGATTATATTGGTTTTAAATTGCTGTTCTCACAGTGTTAATTTAATTCATTCACTACGTCCATGAAACGTTAAATTAAATTGCATTAAAAATCTTTTCGTTCCACGATATTTCCATCATATTTCCAAGCAATTTTTCTTCTTTCTTTTTTAAACATCGTGAAAGTTCGATAAACCATTTTGCATGGCGAAAACTTAAGGAATAAAAAATTTTAATAGAACAAGTACTTATACCCCCATCGCTCGAAGGCTCGTTTTACCGCGGCACGAAAGCGGATTAACCGATACTACTCTCCTTTCGAACTATGGATCTAATCGTTCTAAATAATTAATGTGCTATAACATTGCACCGGCACGTGATTAATTTTCACGGCTCAACTTCTTACGACGAGCTGCCATTAAAGATGAAATTGCTCTTCAACGGTCCCGACGATCGATTAATTAATTAATCACGGTTACCACGATTCTTCTATGATATTCCACAATTAGTTGTTATCACATTATTTTATCCTCCAGCGAGTTTTTTACGCAGTTTTCTAAAAGGAGGTCGAAATAAAAAATAGTTTCGTTTTATTAAACTGTTCTTCGTTACATACTTTATACATTTCATATTCCAACATCTCAATTCTCTCGAATCAATATTTTACTCGATGATAATTCGATCAAAATTTCACTACAAATCGAGCAAAAAAGAAAAAAAACCACAAAGATCGAAACTTCTGTCTTGCTCGACGATTAATCCCTTATTAAAGGATCAAAACGTGTTGCCAACTTTCTCACGAGCCCGAGTCTACGCGGATTCCCGTGACGATGGAACGATCCGCCTGTTACCACTGTCGATTTGCAAAGTAAAAGTTTAGCGGACGCACGAACCGGCAATGATTTTCGAACCAACAACTCGTCCGAGGAGTTAATCTACCGTATTTCATGGGAACGCGTCAAAATTCCATCCCGTGCACGATAGATATCTCTCATTCTCTTTAAGGGGATCAAAAAAGGGGGCGTTCGAACAGGATTGCCACTTGGAATTTTCGCAGAGAGATTCTTCTTTTTCCTCGAACGATAATTGAGGAATAATTTTAGGAAAATTGCATCTTATCCTGGTAAAAATAAGAGAGGAAAAAGAATAGGACAGATAATAGGGGTAGAATAAATTATTGGTTTATTCCAAGTAGCGAGAAATAATAATTTTATCTTAGATCTATAAGATATGATATGCATAAATGAAAAGACGCATACGAGAAGATGTGTGTGATTCAATTAGACCGAGGCAAAGGAAAAGTGACTTTTTCTAGAAAAATATCTTAATATTTTTTTTTTTTTTTGTAGCGAATATCAAATATATTTTAACAATATCGTTTAAGAAAGTAAAGAAAGAACGATGATGCTCAATTTTGGATCGTTTGTTTCGATGTCCAAAATAAAGATGCGCGCGTAACAGCAGATTTTTAACAGCAGTTAAGTTACATAAGCGATATGAAAAATTAAAACCGGTAAAAGGCGGAATTTGCATATTCGAAAGTTTCGTTCTCGGCGTGGAAGAAGGGGATGCGTGGTATCCCATTTGATTATGGGAGAAAACGGCGAGGAGGAATATTTCGTTGTAAAAGCGATCGAAACGAGCGGAGCGGCCTCTTTGTCACGCTTATTGTCCGATCGATTCGATGCCCCATTGGATATCGATCGTTGGCATTCCCTCCGATCCGATTTATTGGAACGTCCATCGAGCGTATCGGATCGATAGAAACCGTGGATAGGCTGTTAATGCGACGTGGATTCCATCCGAGATGTCGGGCGAATAATTCCCTCCGCCGTGTAGAAAATGCGGCCGTTGTTCGCCGTCGAAGGCGTCGTCGAAGAACGGCTGCCGGTGCACTGCTCCTTCTGTTATTATGTATTTATTTGAGAGATCGTACGAAAGATACGATTTTTATGGCGGTGAAAGGCCAATGAAATTGAAATTGGCGAAAGCTAATCGATTGGAAATTATTAGATTGGAGAGAAATTAATTTCCGTCTTTTGAATGTTATGTTTAAGAGTTGTGTCTTGATTTTACATATTTTAATCGAAACATGTTGCGACATTATTGCTGGAATATGTAGGGATGATATAAAAAGTTTTGAAATTAGTTGGATTTAAAAATAGGAATAGAAATACAAATATTATTATTGATTTATTCGATCTAAAATCTGGATATTCTTTGGAATTTCTCCTCGTAAAAATAATGCAAGTGTCGCAATATATAAGGGATGAATTATTTTACAATATTTAGAAATTGTGGATCATTGTTGAAATTTTTTGTAATCGCAAAAATAATCTTGTAATAATTTCATCTGGATTTTCAACTCACAACAAAATTAGGCATTTGGAAATTGGAAAATCGATCTTTTTATACATTGTGTTATTTATAGCAAATAATTCCCTCATTTTATAATATATCTTAAAAGAATTGAGAGCAAAAACTGAAAGTTACAATAATAGATATCAATTTTCGTCTAATATTTAATTATTTGTAGCAAAAATTTCTGTCAACTATTTTTATTTATTAATTGTTTTTCAATGAATTAATCATAACTTTCCTCGTCAAGTCATTGAGTAAGCGAGCTAGTGTAGTTTCGAGCAAGTGTCATTTCCAGGTCATGTATACTGAAAACGGTACACGTTATAAGAGAAAACGAGGTAATATCCACTTTTAAAGAAAAATCAACAAAACGTGTATTTTTCAATAAATATTCTTTATTTCCCTTTTGAAATCATGTTAAGTGTCCATTTCTCTTCGTACACATTCCTTACTTATGAGGAAAACGTAATAGAAAGTAACAGAAAATAATAATAATTTTTAACGTTGCGTATATATGTTCTCAATTATTATATTTCATAATATTTCTTAGTGGAAAGTGCAAGTCTTTTTA